ACGAGTTATATGGATTAAGCTACTCAGATAATGTTCGTCGAGGAGCACCTTTCTGACCGGAGGAGGGGAACCCAATTAAGGAGTAAAGTGGACGGCCGAGATCCCGGCAAAAAAATTTGGGAAACGAAACACCCAAGGCGGTCCCTGCGCGAAGGAATCGTCCGTAGGACTCCAACCAAAAAGTCGGGGGTCTCGTTCCCCGATGAACATTATTCTCCGTTAAGGAGCACAGTGGACAGGAGGGAAGCCCAACAAAAAAACGGGGTGCAAATTTGTGAAGGAACTGTCACTGGACAGGGTCCTCGTTGTGGACCACGTCGCTCGACGAACACTAGTAGCTATAAGGGCGATGTGATATTGGTGATGATAGAAAGGCGTAAACTCGTAATGCGCTGTAATCGCTGACTCAATAGATCAACCATTCTTGCGTCTTCATTGACTCGAACATGCAAAATACTCAAACGTCTTTATGAGTCTAGCAGAATGTTTAAGTTTCAGTGGATTCTACTGAATGATAATAATTTACGTGAATAAATTGTGGTGAAAAATGAGGTAGAAGTTCGCCAATCTCATTCATTGCTGACCTTACTTCATCGTCCGCGGGACAGCCCAATTGCTGAAATATTCATGGGAATTTTCTTAACAGAAGAACTTCCGAGAAAAAAATCACCAAACAGTTCTTTCTCCAACTCATGCTTACAGAATACTTGAATTCGGTACAAAATGAAATCGTTACGAAAAATAAAATAAGATTCTAATGACTAAAGCATTGCATTTCTTCATTTGCAATTATTTAGATCGCAATGAAAGCTTCACGTCCGCAATGAGCAACATATGTGAACAATTTTGATTCATCAACGTAAAAGTCAAGTGACCAATTAATATCGAAATAACAAACGATTCAATTAATGCTCAATAAATACTTAAAGAACTAACCGTCATAAGCCCACGACTATTCAATCGTTCGATAATCACCTTAGTGCGTTTCGATGAAATTTCATTGAGAGCATCATTCAAATACAACGGCATATCTTGAGAATCAGATTCAGAAGAGAATATTTTCGTTAACGTCTCATTGATCGGATACAATAAATTATAGTAGAATATGAAACTGAAAGATGATTTATCGCATTTAATCAAAAACAATTGAACGAAACGTACTCACAATCAGTTTAATGGACAATGCGACACTAAATCATTCATAATCTAACTGATAATCAGTTAACTAATGATTGAGCCGACCACAACCACTGTGCTGCATTAAATTCAAATTAAATATCTCATTGCTTCAAAATGAAATAGCCTTAATTCAAAAACACAGAACCAAGTACTTCATTTCAATGAACAGCAAATTAAAATTTTTTTTTGCTATTCTTTCAGACCATTCCCTACAATCTCATTGAACAATCCAATACATGCTCGTTTCTTCTCGAACAATATATAGATTCAAGCATACTTTCGACTTTCCAAACCTTATTTGCTTTAGGTACGAAGTGATGAATATAGTAATGACATCAACGTCAATGGTAAATAACATCACATTATTAAAATCAGCACATTCGTATCATTAAATTTCATAAACAATCACCTTTCATAGACTAATACTTCTTGAAGCTTCATAACTGATGTTTCTTTCGCATTATCCGCCGAAGAAATCAACAAATGAAAAAGTTGACTTGCCTCTGCGCACACCTCATCGTACAACCGTAACAAGCACCTGAACTCTAAACTTTATTATTCGATGGAAATAAATTTTCGTTGAAGGAAAAAAAAGCTGCAAAATAAATTCCAATAAACACTGAGAAATTTTCTTCCAAAAAAATGAAGGAACGAATAAATAATCGAGGAAAGAAATGACCTCAAATTTGGATGCGATGAAGACATGACCAGATTTGCAAAAGCCGAGTCAGTGCTTATACAATCTTCCAAACGATCAATAAACGACGCAATCCTGAATTTTGATTTCATCTCAACTATTGTATCTCTTTTCATAAAGAATCTACAAAAAATACTCTCTTATCTCATAATTATCTCATACTCATAGACGTCAACATAATTGTTCACAAATTCATTATCTTTATTTGACCTTCGATCTCCATTCGATCTCACATTCAACAGTTTTTCGCAATCCTTTCAAACTATTTCAAATCAAGGACCAGAACCATTTCAGGCTACATTTTGAATATATTTCATCAAACGATTCTGCAGAACTC